GTGTGCCCAAAGTGCCACATTTACAAATTAGAATTCAAATCAACCATGCACACCACTAGGAATTCTTTTTAACTGTCTGTATGCAGGGCCTGAATGTCAGCCCACAGCCAGATTTTGAACGTTTATCAGCAATGACTTACACTAGAATGAAGATGGGTTTTTTTCCCTTCTTATAATTCCCAATGGGTCGTTTTGTTTAATTACAGTTAAAAAAAAGGCACAACCACTGACTCTGATCAGCATGCAGATAATACAATCATGTCAGCAAAATCACCCTGAAATAATGCTTGATTTAGAAAACCAATACAACACTCAAAAGGCTTTTAATATCTCTTTATTAGAGAAATTCAGGATATCCTCCTGTGTTTACTGTTCATATTATTAAAATAGCTAGCACTTTAGCTGACCTCATGCCCCAAATATTACCAAAAATCTTGTAATTTAAACTACCATACAATGTTCTAGGCCTTCAATTAAAAATAAAGTCCACAGAAAAATATATATACCCACTAAAACTCTGTTTTACACATATGCAATTTATTTTCACCTGCAAACAAGTTGGGGGAAAAAAAAGAAAAAGAAACCTTACCAATCTTAATGAAAATCACTGCCATTGCTGGGGATATTTACAGCGAAAGCAGGTACTTAAGCAGACTACATTAGAAGCATCACAATATAGTTCCCCAATATTGCACAGAGCAAAAAAATTTTCTACAAACAAGAGAGAAATAGAGATATTGTGGCCACAGGAAATATGCTGTTGAGTGTAAGTTGTCATCACATTTCATTGTAAATAATCATCATTACTCTGTTCCTTGAGAATCTGTTCTTACTGTGACACTATTTTTCTAATCTATGGTTCTGCAGCACTTACACAGGCCATGGCCAGTATATGTGAACAACTTCTTGCTGTTTGTCATCCAAGTTGCAAAAGCATCAAAACCGCCCAACTATTCCAAATGAGAAATGAAAAACGGCATGAATTTGACTATTTTTACTGATAAAATTAAGGACGTTATTATTAAAAAAGAAAATTAAAATTGCCTTTATCAGCAAACCAGGAAAACACCAGTGTGATGAAGAATCACTTCTAACCTAAATGTACCTATGGAAGTGACTGACACCTGCAAAAAACACCATCGACTTATCTTTTACAGAGAGCTTAAGGGAAAGAAAAATCTGAAAAGAGCTGGGGAAGATATTGTCCTTCCCTGCTGTGGCAATTAAGAGATGTAAACAATTACCTTGATATAACCCAATGGAGACAATACAGCCATGAAAAAAATGCTCCATGGATCATCAAATGCCAAGTCAGACAGAAAATTTGTGATTCTTGAGTTCACCTCCTGTAAGCTGAATACATCAAGATTAGTCACACTGCATCACCTGGTTTTGACAGAATCCATATAACCTTTTGAGAACACACACAACACCCTAACAGACCTCTCTCTCTCACCAAAAATACCCCTAAAGTTTGTTAGTTTCTCACTTACAGTTTAACACATCCGCAGGTCTAACACACCTAACACTGAGAAACGCAAAATGCAGTTAAAGGAGCTTATATATGCCTGAAGACAGAGTTTAAGACAATGCCAGACTCAAGACACGTTATGATAAATAACCTGACTGTCAGGTCTTTAAAACACGATGGCAGATTGTGCCTAATAAACTTTCACTGATTTCTTTAAAATATGCTGAATTTTGAGTAACTTTCATATTAAAACGAATATGCCTCTACATGCCAACAAACAAAACAGCAGCCAAAAACTTTTTGTGTATTTAGAAAAAAGGTATTCTGTATTTTGTCACAAAGCAGCAGCAGAAAGGAGGAAAGATCCTCTTGCTGGAAATTATCTCGAAGTCACTAACTAGTCTTCACCTTGTTAGCAATGATGTTAAACCACCTCAGTTTATTATCAGGCAGTGATTCTCGGAACAGGCAGGAAGCTGTTGAGACTCAGTAGTTTTGCAATAAGCTTAGAAGGCAAGTTCTCTGGCATATACTTACCCTATAACATACATATCCATAGTTGGGCCCAGTGAGTCGAGCTGAAGTAAACTAGTGACATCGGGAGGTGGAGAAGCTGTGCCCACGTTCCAGGTAACTAAGTGTAGTCTACAAACAAAACAAAAATCACACAAAACCAATGCTAAAATTGAAACATGAACAGGTGAGCAACCCTAAGAGCATCTAATTTCCCCACAGAACTTCAATCTACAGAAAACAAAGACTTTCTGTCGCTTTTCATCAATCAGAAATCTATTTATTAGCTAGCCTTAAAAAGGACAGACCAACAACACAAAACCAATCAACTAGACGGAACAAAACCTGAATTCTTGCCACTTATCCTTCAGCTTTTTCCCCCAGATGAGGAAAGCTTCATCTAGAGTGCGAGACACTTCTTCGTGGATTTCATCATCGGAGCTGATGTCCTCTACACACGCCATCAGCTGGGCTACCCGCTGCCGGAGCTGCAAGCGGCCGCTGGACCCCGTGCTGCTGAAACTGGCAGAGCGGCTGCGCAAGTTGTGCAGGCTTTCTAACTCGTTTAGGGAGAGGGCTGCTGAATCCTGAAATGCATCTTCGCTGCTGAACGATGCCATTTGCTCAGAAGGAAAGAAAAACTACACTCTGAAGGATCAGCCCATTAAAATCCTAAGTATAACAGAAAGAGATGGCTAAGGGTCTTCCAGAGCAAGCGTTCACTCGTGAGAAATCCAGCATTGCTTCTAACGCAAAAGGACAGATGTAGATGCAGCAACGTCGAAAAAAACTGTAGTGTTACCACCACACTCCAGGGGTTGTTACAAAAGCTGGAATCACGCCCTACCTCACACAGTGAACTGTTTCTTCATAATAGATTTAATGTGGTTAATTCTATAAGCTCAAGATCTAAAAGATTTGTTGATTTGAATCAATCATGTGCCTCCATCCGTAGGCCAGCAGAAATACAATCTCCAGCTCCCAAACATACAAATACACAGTTCTGACCCAAACCAAGAAAACTCACTGCTTCTCTCGAGCCGTCAGAAACATTCACGTGCCACAGGACTTGTCTGTTTTTTCCTAAGATGGTAATTTCTATATCAGAGCTTCCAAAAAAGAATTCACCTTACCATCAGTCTTGTTACATGCCAAGACAGACTAAAAAAATTTTAAGCTCTTAATTTTCCATCCATCTTAGGGTCCTATAAGTAGCCTATAAACACTGATAGATAGTTAAATAACGAATCCCACCAATATGCCCATTATTAGGGCAATATTTTTATCCCCCCCATCAACTGCCTGCTCAAGGTGACACATAATGTATTTGGAAGAGCTGAAAAGTGACCTTGCAAACCAGATGAATTCAACGATCCATAATGATCTCTCATCAATAGTTTATTTTTGTAAGATTACACTCAAGTCAGCCAAAAGTTATTCTAGAACAAATTTATAGGGAAATAATAATAATAATAATAACAACAACAACAATAATAATGAAGTATGTATGCTGCAGATCTGATTCTGCCATCAAAGCGATATATCACTTTGGAGCTCTCTCCGGCTACTAATTTCATAAGACAATTATCTGATTAAACACAACTGAAATAATACTGAAGTAATCAGTCATTCCTGACAGAAATTAAATTCCTCAAAATGCCCAGTATCCACACTACTGGTAAGAACACAGGAAAGACTGCAGTGCTAGAATTTACATCCAAAGAAAAAATACTTGTCAAACTTTCAAGAACATCCTTAATAATTCAGTTTCACTGTAGGTTATGACTACGTCTACAGGAAAAACTTAATAGCGAGGAACATACACACACCTGCAAAGCAAATAACCTACAGCATCAGGCAAGCCCAACGGTCTGCTGATGCTCCCGAATCATGCAAGGCCATGCAAGTACTGCCCGCAGGACGGAGGGCAGGCCAGACAGATCCCAATTTTCGTCTGATGCCACAAAGACAGCCTTCACCACAGGCAGGAGGACACTGCTCGAACCATTCTGGAAGCTTTCAGCACCAGCAGAGTAGACTCAAGCCTGCTTTCTGCAAACACATTCCTAAATACAAGCAAACTAAGGAAAACATTATTCAGTGTCGCCGACTCAGTGTCGCCGACTGCTGAAACGATTTAATAACGGAGAATTTTTTAGGGTCCTAGTGTTTACAATATTGCTTTAAGGTGACTTTTCAGAGCACTGAGCACACCTCAGCGTGGTTGGTTTTAATTTTTCACGCTCCAGCCAGCTACTCCACAACCCTTTAAGCAGATTTCTCCGGCAGACCGAGCCCACACCGTGCGACACCGCAGCTTATCGCGACAGAAGGCACAACACGGAGACGCAACACGAAAACACAGTAAAAGGGGAAGCCAAAGGTTTGTTCAAGCTCCTTCCTCCTCACGGCAAGCGGGGAATCCGAGGCACCGGGCGCACTAACGGCTGGATCTCGCCCTCATTAAACCTAAGTAGGTCCCTGCAAAGTCCTCGGGGCCCCAACAATGCTCAATGGCGTCCCCCGAACGCCTCCGGCGCTTTCGCATCGGAAAATCGGCTTTTCTTCTCTACTCCATGCGACTACGTAACGTCGCCAATTAGTGTAACTCCCTGTTAATCAGCAGAAACACCAGTTTCGCTAATTCTCCGCTAATTACGTAACGACTTAGCTACTTTTCTCCCGCCCTCGGCCCCACGCCTCACGCCGCGCCGCCCCTCACCGCTCACCTCAGCTCC